TAGATCTACAACAATATTATCATCTTTGCATCTCTAGGTTTATTATATTTGATTACGATTTACCCCTTCTCTAATTTTTTGATTGTTTTATCGCTTACAAAGTACATCGTTAACTTTTGAGCCAAACAATTTGGCGCCGTCTGTGGGGACCTCGAGAACGAGTCCCAGTCCCGATCCCGAGGCGTTAGCGGCGCCATCAGTGTAAAGAGTCCATAGGTCGGCATTGGAGGGGGCAAGGCGTGCCTCCAATTCCGCTTCTGGTAAGATCTCTGCGCTGAAGTCGGCTATGAAGTCGGCAAGTACTTGCGACTTGATGGCGCTCTTTGGGTGATATGAGATATCGTGCTCACTGAGCTCTATGGCCCATCGGGCGAGTCTGCCTGATAACTCAGGTTTGTGTAGGATACCTCTCAAGGGGAAGGTCGTCATTTAGATCATCCTCGTCCGCTCGTACCTCGTCGCAATAGGCGTTGTGGATTTCCTCTCATGTGGTAGGGGATATTTCATGAGGCGGCTCAGCAGCTTCTTGGTTGCCCTCGAACCATCTCTGCTTAGCCCGTTCTGGAAAGCGGCGACTGCCATACCTTCCGATACGTTTGGTAGACTCATCCTTACCCTGTTAAACCTTGCCAGGAAGTCCCTGAGTCCCTCTCCTGCGTTTTGCCTGATGGCGAAGATGTCGTTGACCCTGGACTCTGCTTTCTTCGCGCCTGCATAGGCTGTGATGAATTTATCCGCCATTTCCTCGAACGTTGATATTGCCTTAGCCGGTAGCTGAGAGTACCATGTTAAGGCCCCTCCTGTTAACGTCTCGCCAAACTTCTTCAGTAGTACCGACGGTACCTGTTTTTTTGATAGGTCGTTGCCCTTCACAGCAGTGACGTAGTGGAGCAGATGATCCTCGGGATCTGTGGTTCCGTCATATACCCTTAAGTAGGGTGGCATTTTGAAGGTTTTTGGGGTGGAGTGAGGAGCAGCTTCTTCGGTGTATGGTTGTTCAACGAACCTTCCCACGTCGCGTTTTGGTAGCAACTTGGGAGCATCGGAGATCTTGTCGACCCTCTCCTGATGTTCCTTCATCTGATCACGGAGCGCCTTATTTTCATTTTCCATTTCTTCCATCTTCTTTAAGATGGCTGTTAGCGTGCCATCGTTGGTTTGTGTCTCGATGGGTCTGTTATTTACCAGTGTAACTTCTGGTTCACCCACTGCAGCAGTGGTACCTACCGTTGGTGTACATACGACGTTATTTTGCGGTGGCCTCTCAACCAAGCCACTTAGAGTACTTGTTAGCCATCTTTCCAGTAGCTCTTTGACCGCTGAGGGTGCTTCCGTGGCTGTAGATGTGGAAGCTCCTTTGTGTAAGATCGTCAGACCTTCAGATGGGGAAGGTGAGATCTCTGCACCTGGTGTGATGCTAGGGGTTTCATTCAGGATGCCATCGTCACGGGCCTCGTTGAGAGGGCCTAGGAGATTGGTAGTGACACCCAATATGGCTTTCGATCTTGTGTTATTTTCGGCCATTTTCTGTTTTTGAGTGGTGTAGAGAGTGGTAGTTGGTTGATCTCTAGGTGGATACTATGGTTTTGATTCTCGAAATCCCCACAGACGGCGCCAAGGCATACAGACGCACTACAGCGACACGTCGCCCCACTGCGAAACGAAAGAGGTACGCCCCCTTTATTAACCGCCCATAACTTTTGTGTGTCTCCTTCAGAGATAGTGTACGCATTGGAGAAGCTAGGCACCAAGGTGCACTGGCCGCAAAAGATGAAATCAGACCCTGCCACAAGGAAATCAAACGCCCTATGTGAGTTCCATCAGGAACGAGGACACAAAACCGAAGACTGCATAGGCCTACGGCAAGAAGTGGTCAGGATGCTGAACCAGGGATACCTGAGGGAGCTACTCAGCGACAAAGGAAAAATAAACTTTGCACGCGGACGGGAACAGCCCCACGGGCTGCCGAAGTGGCCTTCCCCAGCGCGCACGATAAACATGATCGTCGGAGGCGGCGACGAGGCAGCGATCAATCACGTCAAACTCGCCACCACACACAGACTAAAGCGGACCATCGCCCATGAACGGTATGAGGACTTCGAAGATAGTATCACCTTCGATAAGTCTGATACCGACGGTTTGTCGTTCCCTCATTATGATGCTTTAGTTATCACTTTACGTATCGCTGATACAGATGTTAAAAGAGTCATGATCGATGACGGAAGCGGCGCCTGTATTATCCACCCAAGGGTCCTCATACAAATGGGACTCGAGGATAAGGTAATACCGCGCTGCATAACACTAACCGGTTTTAACAATGCAGTAGAACGGACGTCCGGAGAAATAGCACTACCCGTCTTAGCAGGAGGAGTCACGCTGGAAACAACTTTCCACGTGATGAACCAAGAAACAGCGTACAACGTCATCATAGGACGCCCATGGATACACGCCATGCGAGCGGTCCCTTCAAGCCACTACCAAGTGATCAAATTTCCTACCCCATGGGGAGTATTCAGTATTCGAGGCGAGCCACGCACCGCACAAGAATGCTACAAAATAGCCCAAGACTGCGCCCACACCCAACAGCTAAAGGGGCGAGCGCGGAGGCATAGCAATTAGCCGTGTCGAGAACTAAGGTCAACCCGACAACGGACGTCATCAAAGACCCCGACGTCGTGGAAGCCTGTAAAGCAACGGGCGAAGACCTCGACCCAGTCCAATTGAACAAAATCGATCCTACGAAGAAAGCCTATATCGGGCAAGGTCTCGCCAACCCAAGTAAGTATTGTGAATTCTTAACTAACCATGCAGATTTGTTCGCCTTTTCCCATTCAGATATGCCGGGAATCCCGCGAGACATCGCCACCCACAAGCTGAATGTCGATCCATTACATCCGCCCGTGCGACAGATGAGGAGAAAATTCAACGCCGCTATCAATGAAGCGATCGGTAAAGAAGTAGACGAGCTACTGGCCAACGGCTCGATCAGGGAATCAAAGTACCCCGAGTAGGTCGCCAACGTTGTCATGGTAAAAAAGAAGAACGGGAAGTGGAGAATGTGTGTGGATTTCACTGATCTAAACAAGGCATGCCCAAAAGATTCATTCCCACTACCCCACATCGACCAACTGATCGACGCCACTGCATGACATGAACTACTGAGCTTCCTAGACGCCTACTCCGGCTACAATCAAATCATGATGGCCGAGGAGGACCAAGAGAAGACAACTTTCATCACCCACCAAGGGACTTATTGCTACAAAGTAATGCCATTCGGGCTCAAAAATGTGGGGGCTACATACCAGAGACTGGTAACCAAAATGTTCAAAGAGCAGCTCGGTAAGACTATGGAAGTCTATATCGACGACATGCTGGTAAAGTCGACAAGAAAAGAGGACCACCTCAACCATCTGAAAGAAGCCTTCGAGATATTGAGAAAATACGGGATGAACTGAACCCCGAGAAATGCGCCTTCGGCGTGGCATCAGGAAAATTCTTAGGGTTTCTCGTATCACAACAAAGTATCGAAGTCAATCCAGATCAAATCAAGGCGATAGACGCAATACCAGAGATACTGAATAGCAAAAAGCAGGTGCAAAAACTGACTGGGCGAATAGCCGCCTTGTCTAGGTTCATCTCACGGTCCTCCGACAGATGTCACAAGTTTTTCAGTGTGCTAAGAAAGGACAATGGGTTACAATGGAACGAGGAATGCATCGAGGCCCTAAAGAAATTGAAGGCGTACCTGTCTTCATCGCCACTGCTAGCCAAAGCAGACCCAGGCGAACCACTGCTGGTGTATTTGGTCGTATCCGAGGTTGCCGTCAGCGCAGTCCTAGTTCGCGAAAATGAAGGTACACAATCTCCTATTTACTATATTAGCAAAACCTTAGTGAACGCCGAAACACGGTATCCACACCTTGAAAAATTAGCTTTGGCATTGGTCGTAGCTTCACGGAAGCTCCGACCCTATTTCCAATGCCACCCCATAAAGGTAGTGACGACCTTCCCCTTGAGAAGTATCCTACACAAACCTGAGTTATCAGACAGACTCGCCCGATGGGCCATAGAGCTCAGTGAGCACGTTATCTCATATCACCCAAGGAGCGCCATCAAGTCGCAAGTACTTGCCGACTTCATAGCCGACTTCAGCGCAGAGATCTTACCAGAAGCGGAATTGGAGGCACGCCCTGCCCCCTCCAATGCCGACCTATGGACTCTTTACACTGATGGCGCCGCTAACGCCTCGGGATCGGGACTGGGACTCGTTCTCGAGGTCCCCACAGACGGCGCCAAATTGTTTGGCTCAAAAGTTAATGATGTACTTTGTAAGCGATAAAACAATCAAAAAATAGAGAAGGGGTAAATCGTAATCAAATATAATAAACCTAGAGATGCAAAGATGATAATATTGTTGTAGATCTAGTGTTGCAAAGATGATAATGTATGTTAATAAGATATTTTCGTTAGAAGTAGAGATACAGAGAGAGAAAGACAGAAAATGAGAGAGTTTCATTAGATCAGATGATCCCTTTTACAATGTGGAGGTCCCCTTTATATAATAGGAGACCTTCCTCGAAAGAATCAAAAAGTTACAGAGATAGGTAACTTCTCCCTAGTGTAGACGCTGAGTTCTAAACGACGTCGCTTTGGTCCTCACGGCCGAGTCGTACCCGCTACGTTAGTCGGCGTACACTCATTGGGCGTACCCACTGGCATAGAGATACTGAGGGTCAAATTTGACCCTATACAATTTTATTAATAAAATAAAAGTTACTATAAGGTCCAAATTGAGATTGAACGTTAATTTTACGTGGGAGGTTGATAAATGACTTTAGAGGTCAACCACCTTTAAGCAATAGGTAACAAAATGGTTTCGGTACAAATTGTTAGGCACTTACATTATTTAATTATTTACATACCTTTTTATTTTATATTGTATAAAATCCTTTTAGGTTTAAGGCCAGCGAGGGCATTCTTCAGGCTTTTACCCCAAACCACTATTCTCTCTGCTTGTTACTCAAAACCCTCGCTGCCGCGCACTCACGAAAATCGGCGGACCCAAGTCCCACGTCACCTGACCGCAAGTCTGCAACCGGCAAGCGGAAAGCGGCAACAGTGAGTCTCTCTCTCTCACAACTCAGGATCTCACCCTTTTGTAGACTGTAAATCTCTTCCTCCCTTATTTGGTAGTAATCGGTAGATGCTATTTATTTAAGCCCTTGTTCCAGTTTAAAGTTGGAATTTCTTCCTTCATTTGCAGCCATTCAATTTTTTCTATTTTTTATTCTGTGGAAAATGATATGAAAATTGTCCTTGTAAGAGGTGAGAGGAGAATGGAGACACCTATTGGGACGTTCAAGACACCTAATGTGACGTTTGAGCGATTGCCCTCTCATTACGACAATTGGTCTACTACAGTAATTCTTTTCATAGAAAATCTTGACGAGATCTGTGTGTATGCTTTTGACTCTGGAAATGCGATGTGTACCATGTGTTTTCCTACAATCGGGATAAGTGTCTTTTTCGGAAACTGGAATATACTACTGTTGGCTTGAACATTTACTTTGTTGGTGGCCTCGATTATCATCGTGATCTTGGTAACATGGACGTTCCCTTTAAGAGAGTCAAAGTTTTTGATATTCGCAATTGCGGATGGGGTCCAGACATCCCAAGGTTGAAAGCTCCCAAGCCTGCGCCGTTTGTGTTTTCCCTTAATGGGATGCTTTATGTGCTTTCTACTAGTGTGTCGGATAAGGAACCACACTTCGAGATGCTGGATACGAAAGATCATTCTGGAGGTTGGCTTCCGCTCCCTGATCCCTCTTTTGTTAGCGACCATATACTACCATCAAACCACGCTAAGATTATTGATTACTCCAAGAATATGCTGTACGTAAGGTTGGTTCATTGGTCTTATATCGATTGCACATCAGATCTTTATGGTTACAACGTGCATGATCACAAGTGGCACACTTTCCAAATTTGCATGTCTGAAGAAGACATAACCTCTTCTAGCTCTTCTAGCCAATCAACCGGGCCGAGTCCTCTGACAGCTCGCACGGCTAATCTACTGAAAGCCAGTTGGTTTAATGGTTGTGTAATTGTAGAGAATTACTTGTATAGATTTCAGATGTTCCGGTACCCTAAACAGGAACTACGAGCTATTCTCATCATTCGTGATTTGGAGCATGAAGTAGACGTGCACAATAATTCAGTCGAGCTCGATTATGTGGATAATGAGCATTCTAAGGATGATCCACCCATTGAAGGGAGCTGGGAGGTTGATATCTCCAATGTTGTTCACAAAGTTGTGCTTGATGATAACTATGCTGTTGGCCATCTAGTTTATCAAGGCAAGAGAAATACGTGTTCAAGGTTTTCGTTGGTTATCTTGTATGCTTCGAAAGCTACTAATCATGTGTGTACATGCACATTTGAGTTGGAAGTGAAAAGCGATAAAGCAGCTGCAGTTGGAGAGAGTTCAACTAGATCATTCATTGCCAAACCCATTGCCTGCAAGTCCCGCGGTATTAACATCGATACGGCCATGTTTTCCTGCAAGGGGCTCTGTAAGTTTCTCCCCTTCCACTTGTAATTGCTTGGTGGCCTTACGAAATTTAAGGTTTCTTTGTATATAATAGTGTTTTCAATACTTACATGAATCCATCTAAGTACATTGTGACTAGAATTACATAAATAAGCACACCAAGGGTGTGTCCTGGTGGTCAATGAAGTGGGTGAGTACCATGAGGTCTCAAGTTCAAATCCCAACGGAGGCAAAAACACTAGGTGATATCTTCTCATTTGTCTGAACAAAGTTACCTGGTACCTGGTGGGAGGTGGTAGGTGCGGCAAGCTGGCTTCGGACATCACGGTTATTAAAAAAAATGAATTACATAAATAAGCTGATTTTTACATTCCTTTCCTGAACAACACTCTTTAGACCTCTAGATTATTCTTATCAATGAGGGGAGGGTATTTGTTCTTTGTGAACTAGTTCATTGTTAGTTCTTCCTCAGTTATCAGTGGCCCTAGTGCTTACCTAGTTTTCAGTTAGTATTGGATTTTTTTGCTCTAATGGTTTTAAGGGACTTCTAATCTTGATCTTCTTTTTCGTCGATGAGGGTATGGCCTCCTTGTAGATCATTGTTAGGATGATAGAAGTTAACTTATCTAAGGTAGCATCTGTAATGCTTCTAAATGTCTGTACTATACCTGCATTTGTCTTTGTCTTTGTTTTTGTGGTCGCATCATTATTAGCTTCCCCGACTGCTCATTTGTTTGTTACTTTTTGGCCACAGATGATTGAACTGACTAATTGAATGCAAAAACCTATCATCTGTTTGGCAAGCCTCTTCTTAGGTTCATGTACTTTTAGAATCATGATGTCTTTCCTGTTAAAGAACTGTGATTTCTTTAGGAGTCTATTTTTTGTTTCATTCTAATAGTCTAAAAGGATGTTATTCCAAGGTGAAATGATAACTCAAGCTTATTCAATTTTGATGCTTCAACCTTAAGCTTCTTTCTATCTGCAGTTCATGGTTCTCCTCTGAAAGTGAAAGATGTATATTCTTTGTATATTGTAGGGCAAGAGAGGATTAGATAAGGATTCATGAAATGGAACTCCTGTTTCAAGTTTTACGGATATTTTATCTTTTGCAGGTTTAAGTAATATGTGATTTTCTTTGTGGTGGACCTGCCCCTCTGATATTTAACAAACTACAATTTGAAATTTGAGAAGTTTCCAACTGATTTAGCAAAAGGAAAAATTCTACCATATGTTGATAGGATCATCTCGGTTTACACTTCCTCTCTTTTTCTGTTTGTCTTGAAGGTTTTTGAATCTTGCTTAGTAGTATATAATTTTGCCTTTCTCGTTGGTGGTAGCTATTCTAACTGTGTATTTTGATCAGATGGCTATGATGATTTATGATGTCGGAAGGTTCAACCTAAGAATTGTTCATGGAGGCTAACAGAATGTCTGAAAAAAGCAGAGTAGTATATGAGCTCCTAAGAACAAATATCTATTTTCTTTTGTTACTTTAACTCTAATCTCCCTGTTTGTTAGACTGGATCGTTTCTTTTGTCCAAGGATGAATTTTAAACTTATTTTAAGTTGGAGAACACAAAGTATTACTGCTACCACTAGTCCTTAAAAGTTGCTCTTTGATTGTTTTCTCTTACTTCAACAGTTGTTATTGTTGATTCGCCTATTTATAAAGGTTGAGAAAATAAAAAGAAATAGTCCTAAAATCACTAGTTTGGGACTTCAACAGCATTTTTTTTCGAAAGAAAAAAAAATTGGCCTTCAAAAAGCTTGGCCAGCCAAACTGGCTATTATATAACTAGTTTGGATTGATAGATTTACATTTATGTTTGATATTTGTTAGGAGCCTTTTTAAGTCTGTTTTAGAGATGTGTATGTAGGTTAATAAAAAATGTAGAGAACATGTAATTTTAAAGAATGGCAAACTAATGAGTATTAGAATGTTATGAGTCCACGTAGAACGAAATGATAGTGATGATCCATATAGTCGACTTTAATTGCTTTGAGATGCAGTTTCTTTTCTATTCTGCTGTACACATTTGAAGATGGTAAAATGAAGCACATTATTTGAATTCATATAGTTAATTCTAGGCAGAATAGGTAAAGACCCCTCTAAACTTGATACTTTTTAATGAGTGTACACCTTAACTATACGGGATTTTAATTACCTCCCTATGCTTACTTTTTCGCTTTTATTACCCCCTAACCTGCCACATGGCAGTTGAAGTTTGTCCAAATGGCTGAGTGCGCGTGGGGAGTATAATTTTTTGCCACATCAGTTGAATATTTACCATCTCTAATGGTAATATTCTCCCCCAACGGTAACAACCCCTATTTATTGGCTTCTTACCCTCTTCTTCAGCAACATATTTGTCTGGACAAATATTGTGAGAAGTTTGTTGCTGAAGAAGAGGGTAAGAAGCCAATAAATAGGGGTTGTTACCGTTGGGGGAGAATATTACCATTAGAGATGGTAAATATTCAACTGATGTGGCAAAAAATTATACTCCCCACGCGCACTCAGCCATTTGGACAAACTTCAACTGCCATGTGGCAGGTTAGGGGGTAATAAAAGCGAAAAAGTAAGCATAGGGAGGTAATTAAAATCCCGTATAGTTAAGGTGTACACTCATTAAAAAGTATCAAGTTTAGAGGGGTCTTTACCTATTCTGCCTAGAATTAACTATATGAATTCAAATAATGTGCTTCATTTTACCATCTTCAAATGTGTACAGCAGAATAGAAAAGAAACTGCATCTCAAAGCAATTAAAGTCGACTATATGGATCATCACTATCATTTCGTTCTACGTGGACTCATAACATTCTAATACTCATTAGTTTGCCATTCTTTAAAATTACATGTTCTCTACATTTTTTATTAACCTACATACACATCTCTAAAACAGACTTAAAAAGGCTCCTAACAAATATCAAACATAAATGTAAATCTATCAATCCAAACTAGTTATATAATAGCCAGTTTGGCTGGCCAAGCTTTTTGAAGGCCAATTTTTTTTTCTTTCGAAAAAAAATGCTGTTGAAGTCCCAAACTAGTAGAAGAGAATGAGCGTGGTAAAGTAGACGAGCTACTGCGCCAACGGCTCGATCAGGGAATCAAGTACCCCAGTAGGTCGCCAAACGTTTTCATGGTAAAAAAAGAAGAACGGGAAGTGGAGAATGTGTGTGGATTTCACTGATCTAAACAAGGCATGCCCAAAAGATTCATTCCCACTACCCACATCGACCAACTGATCGACGCCACTGCATGACATGAACACTGAGCTTCTAGACGCCTCTCCGGCTACAATCAAATCATGATGCGCGAGGAGACCAAGAGAAGACAACTTTCATCACCACCAAGGGACTTATTGCTACAAGTAATGCCATTCGGGCTCAAAAATGTGGGGGCTACATACCAGAGACTGAACGTCAAAATGTTCAAAGAGCAGCTCGGTAAGACTACTGGAAGTCTATATCGACGACATGCTGGTAAAGTCGGCAAGAAAAGAGGACCACCTCAACCATCTGAAAGAAGCCTTCGAGATATTGAGAAAAATACGGGATGAACTGAACCCCGAGAAATGCGCCTTGGCGTGGCCATCAGGAAAATTCTTAGGGTTTCTCGTATCACAACAAAGTATCGAAGTCAATCCAGATCAAATCAAGGCGATAGACGCAATACCAGAGATACTGAATACAAAAAGCAGGTGCAAAAACTGACTGGGCGAATAGCCGCCTTGTCTAGGTTCATCTCACGGTCCTCCGACAAGATGTCACAAGTTTTTAGGTGGCTAAGAAAGGACAATGGGTTACAATGGAACGAGGAATGCATCGAGGCCCTAAAGAAATTGAAGGCGTACCTGTCTTCATCGCACTGCTAGCCAAAGCAGACCCAGCGAAACCACTGCTGGTGTATTTTGGTCGTATCGAGGTTCCGTCAGCGCAGTCCTAGTTCGCGAAAATGAAGGTACACAATCTCCATTTTACATAATTAGCAAAACCTTAGTGAACGCCGAAACACGTATCCCACACTTGAAAAATTAGCTTTGGCATTGGTCGTAGCTTCACGGAAGCTCCGACCCCTATTTCCAATGCACCCCATAAAGGTAGTGACGACCTTCCCCTTGAGAAGTATCCTACACAAACCTGAGTTATCAGACAGACTCGCCCGATGGGCCCATAGAGCTAGTGAGCAGCAGTTTCTCATATCACCAAGGAGCGCCATCAAGTCGCAAGTACTTGCGACTTCATAAGCCGACTTCAGCGCAGAGATCTTACCAAGAAGCGGAATTGGAGGCACGCCTGCCCCTCCAATGCCGACCTATGGACTCTTTACACTGATGGCGCCGCTAACGCTCGGGATCGGACTGGGACTCGTTCTCGAGGTCCCCACAGACGGCGCCAAATTGGTTTGGCTCAAAGGTTATGATGTACTTTGTAAGCGATAAAACAATCAAAAAATAGAGAAGGGGTAAATCGTATCAAATATAATAAACCCTAGAGATGCAAAGATGATAATATTGTTGTAGATCTAGTGTTGCAAGAGATAAAATGTATGTTTAATAAGATATTTTCGTTAGAAGTAGAGATACAGAGAGAGAAAGACAGAAAATGAGAGAGTTTCATTAGATCAGATGATCCCTTTTACAATGTGGAGGTCCCCTTTATATAATAGGAGCCTTCCTCGAAAGAATCAAAAGTTACAGAGATAGGTAACTTCTCCCTAGTGTAGACGCTGAGTTCTAAAACGACGTCGCTTTGGTCCTCACGGCCGAGTCGTACCCGCTACGTTAGTCGGCGTACACTCATTGGGCGTACCCCTGGCATAGAGATACTGAGGGTCAAATTTGACCCTATACAATTTTATTAATAAAAAAAAGTTACTATAAGGTCCAAATTGAGATTGAACGTTAATTTTTACGTGGGAGGTTGATAAATGACTTTAGAGTGTCAACCACCTTTAAGCAATAGGTAACAAATGGTTTCGGTACAAATTGTTAGCACTTGACATTTATTTAATTATTTACATACCTTTTTATTTTATATTGTATAAAATCCTTTTAGGTTTAAGGCCAGCGAGGGCATTCTTCAGGCTTTTACCCCAAACCACTATTCTCTCTGCTTGTTACTCAAAACCCTCCTGCCGCGCACTCACGAAATCGGCGGACCCAAGTCCCCACGTCACCTGACCGCAAGTCTGCAACCGGCAAGCGGAAAGCGGCAACAGTGAGTCCTCTCTCTCTCAACAACTCAGGATCTCACACCTTTTGTAGACTGTAAATCTCTTCTCCCTTATTTGGTAGTAATCGGTAGATGCTATTTATTTAAGCCCTTGTTCCAGTTTAAAGTTGGAATTTCTTCCTTCATTTGCAGCCATTTCAAATTTTTCTATTTTTTATTCTGTGGAAAATGATATGAAAATTGTCCTTGTAAGAGGTGAGAGGAGAATGGAGACACCTATTGGGACGTTCAGACACCTAATGTGACGTTTGAGCGATTGCCCTCTCATTACGACAATTGGTCTACTACAGTAATTCTTTTCATAGAAAATCTTGACGAGATCTGTGTGTATGCTTTTGACTCTGGAAATGCGATGTGTACCATGTGTTTTTCCTACAATCGGGATAAGTGTCTTTTTCGGAAACTGGAAATATACTACTGTTGGCTTGAACATTTACTTTGTTGGTGGCCTCGATTATCATCGTGATCTTGGTAACATGGACGTTCCCTTTAAGAGAGTCAAAGTTTTTGATATTCGCAATTGCGGATGGGGTCCAGACATCCCAAGGTTGAAGCTCCCAAGCCTGCGCCGTTTGTGTTTTTCCCTTAATGGGATGCTTTATGTGCTTTCTAACTAGTGTGTCGGATAAGGAACCACACTTCGAGATGCTGGATACGAAAGATCATTCTGGAGGTTGGCTTCCGCTCCCTGATCCCTCTTTTGTTAGCGACCATATACTACCATCAAACCACGCTAAGATTATTGGATTACTCCAAGAATATGCTGTACGTAAGGTTGGTTCATTGGTCCTTATATTCGATTGCACATCAGATCTTTATGGTTACAACGTGCATGATCACAAGTGGCACACTTTCCAAATTTGCATGTCTGAAGAAGACATAACCTCTTCTAGCTTTTAGCCAATCAACGGGCCGAGTCTCTGACAGCTCGCACGGCTAATCTACTGAAAGCCAGTTGGTTTAAATGGTTGTGTAATTGTAGAGAATTACTTGTATAGATTTCAGATGTTCCGGTACCACTAACAGGAACTACGAGCTATTCTCATCATTCGTGATTTGGAGCATAGAAGTAGACGTGCACAATAATTCAGTCGAGCTCGATTATGTGGATAATAGCATTCTAAGGATGATCCACCCATTGAAGGGAGCTGGGAGGTTGATATCTCCAATGTTGTTCACAAAGTTGTGCTTGATGATAACTATGCTGTTGGCCATCTAGTTTATCAAGGCAAGAGAAATAGTGTTCAAGGTTTTCGTTGGTATCTTGTATGGCTTCGAAAGCTACTAATCATGTTGTACATGCA